TGGCCCACCCTTGGAATGCCCGGTCTCTGCGCTTTCAGATCAGGACATATCCTAGCGCTGCTCAGGCACGCTGCTGGTCTGATCCTCTCACCCAATGGAGTCTTTCACCACTTCTGCAAGCCATGGAACCTGGAGTGACCGAATCCGCTGAGCTACTTGGCAGACTGCAGCTACTTTGTCTGCTTTCTGGCATCAAGGGTATTGAGGAACTGGGGAGCGGGGTGGGGGGGAGGCCTGAAGCCATAGTCAAGACCCAAAGGCCAGGTATGGGTCCCAGAGTGATGATGGTGAGGACATGCTGGCTTTCTTTCTTGTTTGTATATGTGTACGCGGTGATGGAGACCAGAGAGGTAGGAGTGGCCACCCCAGAAAGCCTGCAACACATACTTAGTAATGACTCTGTCTTTGTTGACTCCTGTAAAAAGCAAAGCAAGGCGCCACCAGGCCCTGTGAGCCTTGCAGGACTTTGGCGGATGGTGGCTCTCTGAAGAAACTGCAGGTGCAGGTTCTTCCTGGGTCCCCAGGCATGCAGTTTTCATACTAGCCTTGTCTGTTTCAGTGAACAAGTCCAGAGTGGCCGACTCTGCCTTAGAGGGATGTAAGAGAGAATTGAGCTGCTAGGAAGAGGAAAACCGAACACCAGGGCAGGGGACGGTTAGGAGGTATTTCCAGACCCTTGCCAATTGCCAGCAGATGGCCAATGGAAGGTATAAGAAAGTCAGACTTTGTGCAGTTCATGCAAATGATTAACTTAAGTAATAAACTTGCCGAATTCATGGGTAAGCACGTAGCGACTTGAAATGGATTTGCAAATTATAAAGGTAAGAATTCTGATGGCCGCTGAGGAGGGGGCTGTGGGAACACTTTGACTAGTATCCCAGATGGGTGTCTTCTGCTGGGGTGGGTACAGAGTCCGAGTCCCTAGCAGCTCTCCCAGGGTTGGAGCTATAGAGAAATGAAGTGTCAATCAAACAGGCAGGTTGTAAACCCTCCCACACCACATACTGAGCTCAGTGCCAGCCTGGGACCTGCTTAGGTCTCTGAAATTCAAATCTCTTAGTGTGGTGGTGAAGTTCCCTAGCACTGGCCGGCAGATGGGCTGGGTCTCAGCCTTCCTCCACCTCACCTTCATATGGCCTCCAGGTGGCTTTGAGTAAGAACTTTAGATGGGCCTTTAGGTAGGAGAGGCAGCTGCCTGGATCTGGTGGGCATCTTAGCCTAATGACTAAGGCCTTGGACCGCTTGCACTGAAACACATTTGAGACCTGTGTTTCAGGGCTCCAGTAATCTCAAGGAATGAGGAGAGGGAGGGAGAGAGGGAGGGTGGGAGGGAGGGAGGGTAGAGAGAGGGGGAGAGAGAGCAGCAAGGGAAGAAACAAATGGAAGGGGGAGAGTACAGCCATTGGGCAGATGGAGGAGGGGTCCTGCAAGAGCCCTTCCCCAGCCACGGAGCTAGACTCAAACACTTGCAATGCTTGTTCCTCTGCCCCTGGTGCACTTGCATGCCTGGGACCAGGCAGCCCATGGCTGCATTTCTCCTGAGGGAGGAAGTGAGACATGGAGGACAGGCAATGTAGAGGACACAGACTGGAAAAGAATGCTCCAGGCGTGGCTAAGCGCACCCTTGATGGTGTCAAGAGTGAGCATCATTGGTGGATGGGTTGGATGGAGGTGAGAGCATTGTAGTTGCACAGTGGTTGAGGAGGAGGCAGGAAGTGGCTGGTACAGATTGAGGTCAAGTGTTGTCCCTTTGACTGGTCACAGTGGACCCACAGCAAGTCCCTGAGGACATGAAGGCCATGGATTGGTAGCTGGAGTCATCAACATCTGGGACCTTAAGACCTGGGTGTGGTCATTGGGATTTTTAAGACTGTCCAGGCAATTCCACTGGAGTTCTGCCCACGCTGGTGCCGAGCAATGGGGTCCCCAGGACAGTGTGACAGCAGCAGAGGTTAGAGATAGAGATGGAGTGATGAGCGTCGTGTTTGCTCAGATGCCATGTTTAATGACGACCTATCCAGTGAGAGTGCCTGGCCAGGGTCTTAGTTTGGTTGCCCAGTATGCAGAAGAGCAGTGGAGCCTGTTCCCAGGTGTGCAGAGGGGAGTCCAGCAGATGAGATGCCTAAGATGCCAGGAGGAGAGTTGGTCAAAGGATGGGGAGGAAGGTAGATTTCTAGACCAAGCATGACCAAGATGCTCTGTGCCAGGAGAGGCTGCAGCGTAGAGCCAGCACACGCGGTCCTAAACCCTTTGGAACACAGACCCCTGAAGACCCCTCTCACCCCCCAGTCTGAGCTGTCCCAGCCGGGTGGGTCTCCATCATTGCTCGGATGTTGAGGAGCAGAAGGGATAGATAGTATAGGACTCCCACAAAGTGAGGTGCTCCCTGGCGGGCTGTGTCAGAGGACTATGTTAAAGCTTTGGGGTCCCTGATAAGGCAGACTGGGAACATATTCTATCATGCAAATTGAGGGGTAGCTTTTTTCGAGACAGGTTTTCTCTGTGTAGTCCTGGCTGTCCTGGGACTCAACTCTGTAAACCAAGCCTGCCTCGAAGTCAGAGGTCTGCCTGTTTCTGCCTCCTGAGTGCTGGGACCAAAGGGGTGCGCCACCACCACCCTGTGAGGGGTAGCTTTATGAAGAGGCGTCTGTATAAGTGGATGTCTTGGAGGGGGAGCCCTTCCTTGGTCAACTGCTGCTGCTTTCTACTTATCTTGATCAGAGCTGGCCAATACTCCTGGGTTGGGAGGATGAACTCAATCCTGTGTGTGGAAGGCATGGTGTGGCTGTGTGAGTTAGACACCCGTGGGCCCAGTGTGGCTGTGCAGCTGTGTGGCTGTACAGCTGTGTGGTTGTGTGGCTGTGTGGCTGTGTGAGTTAGACACCCATGGGCCCAGTGTGGCTGGGCAGCTGTGTGGCTGTACAGCTGTGTGGTTGTGTGGCTGTGTGGCTGTGTGAGTTAGACACCCATGGGCCCAGTGTGGCTGGGCAGCTGTGTGGCTGTACAGCTGTGTGGTTGTGTGGCTGTGTGGCTGTGTGAGTTAGACACCCATGGGCCCAGTGTGGCTGTGCAACTGTGTGGCTGTGCGGCTGTGTGAGTTAGACACCCATGGGCCAAGCATGGCTGTGCGGCTGTGTGGCTGTGTGAATTAGACACCCATGGGCCCAGTGTGGCTGTGCAACTGTGTGGCTGTGTGGCTGTGTGAGTTAGACACCCATAGGCCCAGTGTGGCTGTGCAGCTGTGTGGCTGTACAGCTGTGTGGTTGTGTGGCTGTGTGGCTGTGTGAGTTAGACACCCGTGGGCCCAGTGTGGCTGTGTGGTTGTGTGGTTATATGGCTTAGACACCTATGGGCCCAGTGTGGCTGTGCAGCTGTGTGGTTTAGACACTTGTGCTCCGGCACCCATGTGGCTTTATGGCTTAGACACCGTGGCTTTCCACTGTGTGGCTGTATGGCGTAGCTGCCTGTGGGCCCTGTGGCTATGACTTAAACACCTGCTTCTCCTGTGGTTTATTCTTCTAAGCAAGTATGATTGAATAGTTGCATTTGGGTTGCTGACTATACACAAAGTTCTGTGACAGGTGCGCCTGGGGAGTTTTTAAAGAGTCAGCCACACACCTGTCTTGAGTGAAGTGAAGGATGGAATATAGCACCTGAGTGACCTGCTCATTGCATCATGGCCCTGACAGGAAGCTGTTGGATGGAGGGATTATAGTAGAACCCTGGGCAATCCTTGGCATGGATCTTATCAGGCCAGATAACCCTGTAGATCCAGGGACCTACGACAGAGACATAACAGCCAAGGGAACAGAAAGCTAGTGTGGTTGAGAAAGTGGGTGACGTGGGGAAAGGTTACTGAGCCTGGAGTGGAGCTGCAGGGCCTGGGGTGCAGCCAATGGAACCTACGAGGCTTTGTTGGACACTGTGGGGAGGCAGGAGCCCTGTGGGACAGTCCAGTGAGCCAGGGGGCAGTGCCAACACCTGAACCAGGGATAACTCTGTAGATGAAAGGGGCCTTGCAACTGAACGCCCACACCCTAGGGTGGGCAGGCAGGTGTTTCCTAGCCTGGCCAGATGGTCTGGCGGACAGGACTTTGTGAGCTCTGTTGGGCTGTGGGCCTGGGTGAGGAAGTGCCCAGTCAGCTCTTTAGCAGACTGTGGAAAATGTAGGGGGAAGGGGGCTGTGGAGAGAACAGGAAATGGGGGAGGAGCCACTAAGGGCGGGGCGCCTGCGTTTACAGCAAAATGTGGCTAGAGGCTGGCTCTGCCCAGAGTGATGGCCAGAGACCAGCTCCGTGACCTTGGACTTGAGTCCCTGCCTCCAGCCCCTTTTCTGAAACAGAGACAGTAATTCACTCACGTCTCTCTTAGGTTATGGGTGAAGGAGGAGGACAGAGGGTAACGGCTCTGGAGCAGAGAGAGCATACTGGTGGTGGCAGCCAGGCCATTAATTTCTGTGCCCAACACTTAGCTGGACTTGCCAACACTGAGGGCTGAGATGCAGGTATCACATAGTAGGGGGAGAAACCTGATGGAGGTAAGCCAGGCCGCCACTGAAGGGAAGGCTGGTGATAGTGACCGCCCGTGACAGCAGCTGTTGGGGAAGCAGCATGTGCTGGAAGACACACACCCCTGCTTCCCGCTGTTCATCTATGTCATTCTCTTTGTCATCCCCATTTTGCATATGATTAACTATGAGGCTCTGGGCTGGCAGAGTGGCTCAGTGATAAAGGACCTTTGCACACAAACCTGGCAACCTGAGTTCAAGGCCCGGGATCCATGTAAAGGTAGGAGTGAACTAACTCACCAAAAGTTGTCCTCTGACACACACATGTGTATGCACACGGTAATGATAAAGATAAAAGAGAAAGAAAGAAAGAAAGAAAGAAAGAAAGAAAGAAAGAAAGAGAAAGAAAGAAATAGAAAACGAAAAAGAGAAAGAACAAGAAAGAGAGAGAAAGAAAGAAAAAGAATGAAAAAGAGAAAGAACAAGAAAGAGAGAGAAAGGAAGGAAGGAAGGAAGGAAGGAAGGAAGGAAGGAAGGAAGGGAGGAAGGAAGCAAGCGAAAGAAAGATCCCTAAGACCCAGGCTAACAAAGGAGGGAACTTATGGCTCTTTGGGTAGGAGATGGCTGGATAGGAAGAAGTTCCAAGCCAGGCAATGGTGGCGCACGCCTTTAATCCCAACACTCGGGAGGCAGAGGCAGACAGATCTTTGTGAGTTTGAGGCCAGCCTGGTCTACAAAGTGAGTTCCAGGACAGCCAAGGCTACACAGAGAAGCTCTGTCTCAAAAAACGTTTAAAAAGGAAGATGCTCAAGAGGAGTGTTTCTGGATTGGTGCCAATCTGTACCTACATTGCCTTGGAGCGGTCCCAGGGAGCAGGCTGCGGTTCCATGAATGGTTCATGCCGCCATGAAGGAGGGGCAGAGTGCTGAGTGGCAGATGCCTCTGTGAGGCTTGCCTGCCTGCTTGTTGGCAGAGAGTTGAATGTGGGCTCAGTTGTTTGCTGTGGGACAGATTCGTATCTCTGATCCAGAAACAGATCCAGAGTGTGTCAGCTCTACAAGCCATACATTTTAGCCATAGTATGGAGTGGGCACCCAGGTCAAAAAACCCGAGAGTTCTGCCACCTGACCTGGACCACAAAGTCATTCTTCAGTGATGGGGTCCTAAGTGGGAGGGACAGGAAATGAGAAGGTGAAGAATGCAGGAAGCTGGGGTTGTGAGGTCTTGCACAAGCTGTGTCTTATGCCCAGCGAGTTTATTGTGAAGTACAGCATCTTAGATACTATTTGGGGGTGTGTGGGGGAATGGGACAGTGTCAGCGGAAAGCTATCATGCAATGAGACGTAGCAAGGGAATCAAACAGTGTTGCACAAGGGGAACACATGACATGTACACAGCAGCCTTGGGACCGATAAGTCCAATCTCACCATGAGAAGAATTGGGTTCTTTCTCAGGATTTGAAGTGGAGCTCCCCCAGGGCCCTGGCCCCAAGCCCTCACTGGCCCTGCCAAGCATATTCCTGGTTTTAGATAGGGAACTACGTTCCTTCTCTACACAGCAAGGACTCAGGGAAAGCCTTGGATCAACCCAGCCTGAGGGTGGAACCCCACCATTACACAAGTGGGCAGCTGGCTCCTACCCTGGTTTATGGAGGCAGCTGCTGAACTGTTAAATCTGCTGACAGTCTCCTGGCTTTTTTTCTTAAAAGTGTGTGTGTGTGTACATACGTGCACTGCAGAGGACAACGTTCAAGAGGTTGAGCTCTCCTCCTTCCATCATGGATTGTGTTCTAGACATTACCTTGAGACAATTGTATTTCTCTGACTCTGGCAAAGGCTCAGCATTATTCATTATTGAGGTGTGATTCGTGCACCATACCAATCTCCCCATTGAAGTGTGCAATTCATGGGGGCTGGAGAGATGGCTGGAGGGTTAAGAGTGCTGACTGCTCTTCCAAAGGACCTGGGTTTGCTTCCCAGTGTCTATGTCAGATGACTCACAACTGCCTGTAACTCTAGCTCCAGGGGATCCTGTGCCCCCTTCTGGCCTCTGTGGGTCCTGCACTCACATGCCCATGCACACATACATACACATGAGTATTTAAAGCATGTGCTCTAGTGTTTTTTATCTGATCCCAAGACCCTTCCAAGGTGACCCCTGTCTAGTTCACAACACCCAGAGAAAAAGTGACCTCATCTGAGGCTTCCAGGGTAGCCTCAGGTTGTGCCTTTTTCCACATGAGCTGGTTCTTCCCTGTGTATGTCTGGCACTGCACCAGGACACATTGCTGTCTCACTGGTGTGACTCAGCCCCACAGAAGGCAGCTACATCCTGACACTTTCCTGGCCTCTTTCTGTGGTTGATAAAATGACTCCCATGGCTGGACAGACCACCCATTGCAAATAAGGCTTTATGGAGATTGGGCATTGTCTGTGTCTGTATTATAGGACGACAGTGGGGGCTGGATGGATATGACACAAGTCGTTTGTAACCCTCACGGCCTGCTGAGTCCTCAACAGTCTGTCCTTTGTAGAAAATTCTTTCTGTCCTTGGCCTCTGTGACACTGGGGCAGGTTTGTGGTTTGTGTGCTATGGTAGTTTTCATCTGGTTACCTGCTCTGTCATTTCCAGAAGCAAGCAGGATGACTTGCGAAGGAATGGGGGGCATTCTTCAAAGTGCCCTGAAGTTGCAGTAAGGCCCCCAACCTGCCCTGGGCTCCTAGGGGAGAATAGGCGAAGGGTGTGGGGGAAGCTTCATGCCAAAAGCCTGGTTCTCCATTCAGGTTTCCCTGTGGGTATAGACCCCAGGGGTCTTGTCAGTGTGTCTTGAGGGTCAGCATATGGCTTGAAACATTATTTGTCCCCTTTCCAACCTGTGGTTGCAGGTGGCTCTGTCTTTCCTGGAACCCTGTTGGAGTTTAACCACCTTCTGTAGACTTATTGTGGCAGAAGCAGCCTTTGCCAGGCACCTCTGGTTATAACAGACACCTGATTAGGACAATGGCCAGCTGGTTCTTAACTAAGGCAGAAGGAGGTGTCTGGAGAGGCCTCTGGCTTCACAGCCCCATAGCTGAGTCCCTACTCTGTTTCCTCTTCTATGGCAGCAGGCTGGTGCCTGTCTAACCATCCCTGAAAATATAGTAAGGAAGGTGCTGATGAGTTAAGTTCCAAAAGGCAATGGTAAGATGTCCTGATGGGTTCCACAGCTGTCAGCCCCTCTGTCTCCTTCCAGGAGTCTCAACTCCTGAGAAACCTGTGGCTTCTGCCCAGGAGCTATAGGGACAGCAGTGTCATAAGAGGCCATCTCCCCATCATGCTGAGGATGGGAGCACCTGGTGACCCCTTTTCCCTCAGGGACACTTGAACTTGGCTTCTTTCGACTCCACCTTCAGAAGATGGAGCAGGAAGGTCTGTGACTTGTCCAAGGTCACCAGTACAGTGGCAGTGCCAGGAGTCCCTGGAGACTCAACAGGAGCAAGTTCCCGGCTTTGGATATAAGGGTGCTATTCCTTGGAGGGGGTAGGAGGCTGGGTGTCCTTGTGGAGGCTTGGTGACAAAGATGTTGTGTCTCAATGTACGCCTTCTGGAGTCTCCCATGGGCGTGCTGGCAGAGCAGTCAGGATTATAAAAATAGGCCTGTATCCAGGATTTTTTTCTTCTGAGAGAATTGGTAACAGACACCAGTAAGCATTTGGTCACAAGTTTATCCAGTCTTGCTTGTCTGGGGGGAAGGCTAGAAGCCCCCGGATATTGCAGTACCTGGGGTCATAAGTACAGTATCAGGTACCCAGCAGGTAACAGATGATGCTGGTCGTTTGCCTGCTGTGTGGTGCAGGGTGAACTCAGTACCTTCTACGTGAGTGCACTCTGAGCGTTCCTCCCCCAGCCTGGCATGGATGTTTTAAATTAAAATGTAAAAGTGAGGACATATGAGGGAATCAGACTCCTGTTTGCAAGTGCATCTTTTTTTTTTTCATTTTCCTAAAATGGACTTGAATTATACATGTATTTTTTTTAAAGTTAGTTCTTGCTATGATTGTCTAATAACAGGCAGCAATCAACCTGACACCCTCTAGACCTGTCTTGGCCAGTGTGGCCCGTGTTGTTTAGCAGAGTGGATATTTGGGGGGTTTTGGTGGTGGTGGTGGTTTTGTTGTTGTTGGTGGTTTTGTTGTGGTTGGTTTTTTGTTGGTGCTGGCAATGATCCCCATGGGATCCACCTGTTGTCTGGACCTCCCCAGCATAGGGGTTACCAGTGTGTGCCCCTACCTCACTCCAAGCTTTTTACATTCTGCTGGTGATCAAGCATACATCCTCATGCTGACCCAGCAAGCACTTTCTCAAACTGAGCCATTGTCTCCCCAGTCTGCCGGTTGGGTTAATGCACAGCTTGGGGCTCTGGGATCAACCAAGAAGTGTCAGGAGAGCCAAGGTGTGGCAGGGCTGGGTATGGCAATATCACTTTTGTTCCAGAACAGACCTAGAGAGGGTAGTAATGGAAACTACAAGTGATGAGCAGTTAGGGGCAGGTCGAAAGAACCACCTATTAGGAGCCACCTATTAAAGGGGCAGTATATTCTGTATCTAGGAACTTTCCTCTTGCCAAAGAATTGATGGGAGACGGGGGTGGGCGGGGGAGACACAGGAGCCAATCCCAGGGCTGTATTTGTGAGTTCCCCAGAGAGACAGAACCAACAGGGAGAGAAGGCCCAGGGTTTGGTATGGGAACGGCCTCCCACCATGATAGACTGCAAACCACCTCTGCAGAACAGAAAGAGTGAAGAGTGGGGGTGGATGGAGTGAGTCTAGAGGGCAAAGGGCAGGTCCAGGAGCCCTGATGGCTGGAGAAAACAGATGATGCCGCGCCCAAGCAGAGAAAGCAGCTCACTTCTTCTGAGTCCTCAAGTTTGCTTAGTGTAGCCCATAAAGTCCTGATTCGGAGCTAATCGTGTCCAGAAATAGCTCTGGATTAACCAGCTTGCTGGGTGTCCCTTTGCTCACTAACTAGCTGGGTGTCCCTTAGCTCATCAAGTTGTCATAGAAAATAAACCATCACAGGGATGTGAGAAAAGGGAACAGAAAAACGGAGGGCGTTTGGTGGAGACAGTCCTCCTGAGGGGATGACGCGTGCATCGGCCCAAGTCAGTGGTCAGTAGCCCCTCCCAGAGCTTGTCCAACCCAGTCAAAGCCCTGGGTTCCAGGGTTAGTTCTCGGAGGCCAGTGCTCTCCGAGAGTCCCACTCCTCAGCCTTCTCTGCAGCTCACTTTTCCTCCATAGAAGAAACGTTTGACGCTTTATCAAAGCCATATTCCGCAAACTCAACCTCTCAGCGGTCCCATTTTCAGAGGATGCTCCAACCCTAGAAATGCGGCCAAGCATGTCTGACTTTGCATTCTGTAGGGTTATGAGTGACAGAGGGGCTGGAGTCATCCTTCTTTGCCTGCCTCAGTCAGAATCCCAGAGCTGTTGGGAAGTAGCCCATATTCCCTCTGCCCAAGTCCAGCTAGCCTCTGTCTCTATGGGACAAGGTATGGGAAGCATTTGTCCTTGAGACTTGAAGTATGTCTTAGACAGACAGGGTGGAGAGCACCACCTGAGGCTGGGCGAGGGAGGGTGTCCTCCACGCCACGGTGGCTGTGACCTGAGAGTTTCTTTATGGCATGGCCTCTGTGTGTCAAAACCTTCAAAAAGCTCTTGCCCCAGCCACTTCAGACAAATGTGTGATTGCTTTTCTCACCTGAAACTTTGTCCTCTGACTGGCCTCACCCTGCGCTGATGTCACAGCACAACAGCTCTGCTGTTCCCATGACAACAGTCTCCCATAGTTAACCAGCCAGGGCAGAGCCTGGGCTGCTGGCAGAGGTGGGGAGTGGTGATTCCAGCTAACCTGAGCCAGTGACCCCTGAGACCCCACGTGGACCACCTTAGGACAAGATTGTAAGATTGCAGTGTCTGCCCCTTCTTCTCTGGGAGGGGGGTTCATTTGGTACCCAGCTGTTTGGGGAGAACGGATGCCCAGGCCAAGTTCTGATGCAGGGTTAGAAGTTCCTGTCTTGTAAGGAAGACTAGTGGGGGCCAGGGCCTGGGGAGACTCTGCAGCTGCCTTGAGAAGCAGGAGGGATGTCATGACTGAACAAGAGTGGCAGCTGGTGTGGGTGCCCTGACCTGGCTTTGGCGAGCATCACCCCTACACCTAGTAAAGTACCAGCTGGATTAGCTGTAAGTGCCCCTCTTGGTTGGTGGATGTCTGGACCCTGAGGTCGGAGGTCAGCTTGCTACAAGATTGTCTTTGGAAATATGAGCTTGTCCTTCAACCCCTTAGCTGGCTGCCCAGCTGTCTTAGTCTGGTAGAGCCCATCTGGTCCTGGTGGAGGACGAGGAGATGGTAAAATGTCAGTATGTAGCCCTGCCCCCAGGATTGGGGTGAAAACCTGCTATGAACTTGGGCAGGGCTTAGTTCCACCATGCCCATCCCTAGGGGACTTGCTGGCACTTCTACTCCAACACCCAGCCCAGCAGCTTTAGGAACCTTAGGCCAGGCAACACACTGTGTCATACAAGCAAGAACTCCCAGAAATGGGGTTAAAAACATTTCTGATGTTTATTTCACCTGGGCTTGGCTTGGATGCCTCCAGGGATGGTTGTCTCACTGCCTACCCAATGATTTCAAGACAGCCCTGTGGAGAGTGTTTCCTTTCGCCCGGCCAACTCCAGCGTCCCTGTAATGTGCCCTCAGTGGTCTGGCTCAGTCACCAGGAGACATACACAGTAAGTAGTACCTGGTCCCAACATGACTGGCTGAGCATCTGGGTGGTCCTTACAGTACTGGGAGAGGCTGCCATCACACACTTCACAGATGAGGGACTGAAGTAGCGGCATTCAGGCCCTTTCCCAGGACACACAGCATACCGCCAGTGCTCCTCCGCACTCTTCAGCCTGTGGAGGCCTCTGCTTTTGTCACTGTCCTTCTGAGGTCTTTGTTGGTGTCACCTACTCCCGCCCTGCTTTCCGCCTAATCTAGATCCTTCCCACCTGGTTCCCCTTGCTCTTCCAACCCTTCATCCAGCTGTCCTTCCTCAGCTCCTGTTTCTCTGTGTAGCCCTGGCTGTCCTAGAACTCACTGTGTAGACAAGGCTGGCGATCCTTCCTGTCTCTGCCTCTAGAATGCTGGGATTAAAAGCGTGTGCCACCATGGCTGGTTCTCATTGCTCCTTTGATTTGATTGTCTGTTGGTTTTGTAAGTGCCAGAGGTCCACATCAGGTATCTTCCTTGTTTGCGTTCTACCAAACATTTTGAGACAGGGTCTCTCACTGAACCTGGAGCTCACCAATTTGGATACACTGGCTGGCCTGTGGGTTCCAGGGAATCTACCTATTGGTCTCTGGCTCTCCTACGCCGGTCGCAGGGATGAGTTGCTGTGCCCAGCTACTTTACTTGGGTGCCAGAGACCACACTTAGGTCTTCATGCTCATACAGCAAGAGCTTTGCTGACCGAGCCACCTTCTCAGTCCCTCTTGTGTCTTTCATTGCCATCTTGTGACCTTGTCGAATGGCCATTCAGAGACACTTCTTATGCCTTCAAAATCACCGACTCACGTCTGCCCATCATCTTCCTATACCTTGACTGTTGTTTCTAATCTTAGATGTTGGCTGAGTTGATCCAGGGGCCATCATCAGGGGCAGAGGCCATCTCTTTTGCTGCTGAGGTGTCCTGGCTGCAGACACAGGACACAGAAGCACTACCACCACGTTGTCCCCGTCTTTCCCTCTGTGTCCAAGGCTGTCCAGGGCTGCCTGTCTGTCTAGGCTGTCCATCACAGAGTTAGATTCTTCTCTGACTGCAGATAGACATCATACCGGTTCTTTGGGTGGCTGTGTGGCTCCCAGCCACAGGCAGTGCTTTGGCTTTCCAAACCTCTACACTCTGATTGCTGAATTTGGTGAGATTTGGATGCATTCCTGTTGCATCTGGTCCTGTCAGATTTGGCTAGGAATACAATCTGTTGAAAAATGTTGGGATATGGGCCTGGTGGCACAAGACCTAGCCCTGGAGAGGTGGAGGCAGGAGGATCACAAATTACAGACTAGCCTGTGGTGAGACCCAGTCTCAACAAAACCACACAAGAGCCGTCTAAGCTGGAGCCTGGCAGCTGATTTTCTGTCTTACTTGTGGGTCATCAGCACCCCATAGGTGGTGTGTTTTAGGACTGTGAGCTTACAGTCAAAAGCTTGGGTTGCTGACACCAGCTAGGCCCACTGGTCCCTATACTGTTTGCTTTTATGTCAGATTCAACTGCTAGATGTTTGTTCCTGTAGTGCTAGGCTTCTGTAAAAGAGGTAGAGGGTGGGCATCTGGAGAGATGGCTTGGTGGTTGGGAGCACTGGCTGCTCTTCTAGAGGACCCAGATCCAACTCCTAGCACCCACATGGCAACTCACAACTATCTGTAACTCCAGTTCCACGGTATCTGAAATCTTCATACAGACATGCATGCAGGCAAAACACCAATGCACATAAAATAAAAATTAAAAAAAAAAGAGGTAGGGGGGAAGTTATAGCCAGCATTTAGATAGGGTTGCAGCAGCTACAAAAAACTGACTTACTAAGGCCACATTATGTTGGGGGTCACTTAGTTTAAGAAAACCCTGTTCTTTGTGTCTTAAGAATTCTTCAGGGTCCCCTGTGTTGTCCCAAGGAACCAAAGAAAACAGTGTTGCTTTGCAAAGAGTGAGCTGTGCATGCTGTGTGCCAATCACTCACACGTGACCCAGCACTGTCAGATTGCATGCATGAGATTGCAAGGCTGAGCTGCATAGAAATGTTCCCCCCAGCTGATGTCAGTAACCTATAACTGTCTCTATGTTTCCAAAAAATGTTGATGTCTGAGTCCTGAGTGTGCAGGCTGTTGAAGAGCTACCGTTGCTGGGTGTCCCAGGGAGGGGAGTTGCAGGAGTTTGCAATACAGATGGAGAAGGCGAGGGCATGTCTAGCTCAAGAACACACACGGGCACAGTTAAGGTTCTGGGCAGCAGTGGACATTGGGGCTGGAGCTGGTGGGACGCATGACGTGACCCTGCTGCTGTCCTACAGGCTGGGGTAGCAATCTCCCTAGGGTAGAGCCTGTTGGCTGTGGATGGTATATGGAGACTTGATGGTCAGGACAACAGGGGACCAGTGTAGGCTGGCTCGGTGTGCTGTAGTTGGGGAGGGTGCAGGCAGAGAGGTGGGTGGGAGACAGAAAGGCTTGTAAGAAATCCTAGGGGCTCAGCTGCTTTGGGGGGAGGGAGAGAGCCAAGGCCGCCTGTTGAAAGACAGCAGGTGGAACATTGGGTCAACTCAGAGGCACTGCTGTGTCTCATAGAAACACCCAGAAAGCTCACAAGCTCGTCTCAGGCCTCAGCAACCAGGAAACAGATGCAGCCCAGATGAAAGCTGATGTTCATCTTGGAGGTAGCTCCTGCTCCTGCAGGTTAGGGACCTGGACCTGAGTCTGTCTGCTGAGATCTGGACTGGATGGCCTTAGGCAAGTTACTTAACCTCTCTGGGTCTCAGCTCCCCCAAAGTGCGTCTCCAGACAGATGAGGAGATATGTGTGAAGCCTGGGAGTGACAGGAAGTCATCCCACTTTATGGCTTTGTGATTATTGACGCTGAGTTCACCCAGCTAGTTCCCCTTGGCCCTGTCTTCACAAGCATCACCTGGCCTGAGTAAGCATCTCTAAAAGGGGACCATGGCACATGCGTCCATGGTCCCCCGGCATCCCTAGAGGTAGTAGCTCTCGGCTGTTGTTGACTTGTGTCTGTGGAAGGCAGTGGTATATGCTGTGCTCACTATTTAGTGAGTGTTCATGTCATGTTAATTGTCACCTACAATGGGAGGGTTTATCCCTGTAGCCACTGTGTAGCTCCAAGTAGGAAGGTGTGTCAGCATTGTCACAACAGACCCCAGCAAGTAGAGGGCCTGATGGCCACTATTTAACTGTGTGACTGTTCTTGTAGATGTGGAGTAGGCAGACCTGGGCATCCACATGGTGCGGGCAATATGATAATTCTGCATAGTGAGACAGACCTTACACAGGTCAGTTGCAGGACCCCATGTCCTGCTACCAGGATCAGGCTGGCAGGCATGAGGCCATCTTAAGGCTCCTTATGTGGTTTCTCATTATATTACTTTGGTTCTGATTTCATTGGGGCCAGCATGGGGCGTTCCTCTACCCAACTGCCCAAAGGCATTGTGTTCTCTTCCATGCAGCTGTGGCTGAACCCCCTTGGCTCAGGTGTGCGCTGCTGGTGACCATAGATGACACTTGGGAACTTATTGGTGGGGGCAACAGGTGAACAACAGGAGCTTCTCTCCAGCCATCTCAGGCTCAGCAAGGACCCTCCATGAATCCAGGGGGAGTCCTATCTTCTGTTCACAGGATAGGATGGGAGAGGAGCTTGGGAAAGAGCAGAAAGGCACTGAATATGTGGTGGGCAGTTGTCATGGCCCATGGATTCATGAACTATGGAGCTAGCTCTAACGTTTCAAAGCTTATCCCAAAGGTTTCTCCATGAGGATGAGGGTCACTGACTGAGACGGTGAGGTGGGGGGGGCACCACTGATTGGCAGAGACATGGCATGTCTCAGTGATTGTCACCTGTTCGAATGTATGGGAGCCAGAAGCTCCAGGCTCAGAAACAGACTTCAAACCTTAGGTGGGATTGGTGCCATCCAAGAGACAGTAACAGCAACACAGACCCTCCCCGCCCACTGCAACACCCCTGCGGCTATTCCCTGTGTAGGTAAAGCTCCGGATTTGGTATGCAATGCATATTTACACCCAGCTGCTCTGGGATCTGAGTCATCCAGCCCCTCTGAGCTCCCATTTCTCCTGGCTGAAGAGTGGTAATTCCAGGTCACTCAACCGACCTAGACAGACTCAGAGGAACTGCCAGACCTCACCCCCACCAGGGTGCAGGGTTCCCATTTCCCTGTCTCCTCCTGATTGTAGCCACCCTCCAGGGCGTAAAGCAGTAACAGCCTGCTTTTCTCTGGTGCATGCCGCTCTTGGCCATCTTTTCATGCGCGCTGTCTTAGCCACGCATCTGTCTTCTTTGGTGAAGTGCCTATCTGTATCTTTTTCTTTCAAAAAGATTATTTTTAATTATGTTGTGGCAGGAGTGGGATGGGGACGTGTGGGAAGGGGGCTGGGTGGGGGATGGTGGAGGATGGAAGATAGGGTGGGTGGGGAGTAGGGGTAAGGTGGCGAGATGTGCACGTGACCCATGGAGGCCAGAGGTGTCAGATCTTTGGAGCTGGAGTTACAGCTATTGTGAGCCACCCCAACATGCGTGCTGGGAATCGAACCCAGGTCCTCTGGAAGAGCGGTCTTGGTGCTAAACCATCTCTCCAGTTCTATTTGTATCTCTTAAAAATATTTCTTGTGTTATTTTTGTGGGTCTATGAATGGGCATATGCCTCGGCGTGTATGCAGAGTGAGAGGACGACTCGCGGCTTTGGTGCTTTTCTTCCTGGGACCCTGGGGATTGAACTCAAGCTGTCAGGCTTACATATCGAGCTCTTTTAGCTGCAGAGCCATCTTGCTGCAGCTTCCTTTACAGTTAGGTTGTCTTCTTACGGAGCTGTTCAAGTGTTGTGGACGAGAGTCTCTTCCTGGATCTGTGGCCTTGAAAACCTCGGCTTCTGCAGAAGAAGGTGTCTCCTAACACGCTGCTTTCCTTCTCGTGGCGTCATCAGCATCTTTAACTGCCTGGTTTTTTCCTGGTACATCTAAGAAATCTTGGCCTCAGCCAGGGCCGTGTGTGTGTGTGTGTGTGTGTGTGTGTGTGTGTGTGTGTGTGTGTGTGTGTGCGCGCATGTGTGTGTACACTTGTTTTTCTTCTAAACATTTATATTTTTAGACCTGGCATTAGGTCTCTGCAGGATTGACTGTGAGTTTGGTTTTTTTATACGGTGTGTGGAAAAGGTGTGGGTCTCTCTCCTTTGAGTGTGAATACCATTTGTTAACCATTTGTTAAGAAGAAGGAGAAGAAGGAGAAGAAGAAGAAGGAGACAACTTTTCCCCACACTGGGCCCTGAGTTGAGGGTCCCGGCTTCCTTTCATTCTCTTTTGGCCACCATGGTTGTTGGCTGACTGGTGGGTATAATATCAGTGGCTGTTTTAAGAAACTGTTTCTAATTGCCTGGTCTGGAGCAAGGCGCTTTCACAAAGTTATATGTGTCCATGTCAGTGATTGTGTGACTGGCCATGGCTGGCCAAAGGCCTTTTGATCTACCCAGTCAGAGAGGGCCTGTTAGCTTCTTTCCAGCTATGTAATCTGGCTCTTCCCCTTGCGCCTTGCCTTAGTTTCCCCATCTGTGAAATGTGGATGATAATAGCTCTTTACCTCCCAAGGCTACTAGACAAAAAATGGTCTATGCCATGTGTGGCGGTACATGCCTAAAAGCTCAGCACTTGGTGGGGGTGGGGATTGGGGGACAGGACCATTACGAGTTCCAGGTCAACCTGGACTCTATAGGGAGGAGTCAACAAGGAGCCCCGCATGATGGCTGCCCAGTGCTCAGAGGAGCCTGAACTATGGCATTATCTGTGATGGACACGAGGAACTGTTTCCTGGTTGCCATGATGGACATTGGCTTAAGCTGGTCAGCCTGCATCTATGGGGACTAAAAGAAAGGGAAGGCAGGGGCTCTTGATACAGACCATAGTGTCCAAGAGGCCACGGGACTCTGTCCCCCTTAGGAAGCACAACTTCTCTAGAAAGGCATGGGCTTCTTTCTGATGCCACAGGGACACACAACAGTCCTCTGATAACCTCACGGTGACAAGCTGGGCATCGTGATGCAACATAACATACATGTCTCCTCTGTTTGGTTTGCTTTGGAGCCATGCAGCAAGTATGCACTCATCCCCACACACGCCTGCATATGTCCCTCCCTCCTCCTCAAAGACAGGTACTTAGACTGTGTGCCTGCACCTCTGTTGTATTGGACCCAAGTAACAAGCATGCCTGTCTCTACATATCCCTTTCACACACACCCCTGCTCTTGTGCATACAGGTGTGTAACACAGATGCTTGAGCACGCATCCTTACACACAGGCCCCTGCACACACACTGCTTGCAGGTGCTCCCTCTCTTGCCCCTTCCTCTCTTCACACATAAGCAGCTCTCTCGTTGCAGGCTACATAGCCATAGCTCCCACCCCCTTCCTCAGGGTTGTTCTCACCTGCCCCTTCTGGCAGCCTCCCCCTGAGGTAGAGGGTTCTCACTTTCAGTATGGCTGTCATTTTTTTTTTGTCCTGAGGCCACCCTGTGCCTTTCAGGATGTAGTAACGGTCCTGGCTTGTCCCCAGCCTGATTGATAGTACCTCCTCCCTCCAGTTGTGATGACAAAAGTCATCTCCAGACACTACAGAAGTCCTCTGCAGACACACCTTATGACACAGATGTACCCACAGGCTCTTATCCAAGGTGTTTGGGACAGAAGTCAAGAGTCAGGGAATGGGTGCTAGTAGGCAGGGGCAGAGGGGAGACCTGGTGGATGTGTTTTTGAGTGTACCCTGCATTGAGAATCCCATGTACACTTGTCTCCAGGGCTTTGAACACTTTTCTCCAGCTGTCCAGAGCGGCCTGTGCCCTCCTGGCCTTGTAGGTTTTCTGTGACTCTCTCATCGCTTCTCCGGTTGCCCCAGACCCTGCGACCTCTGCTCCTTGGCTACAGCCACCTTTGCTTGCAAGCATGTCTGCAAAACTAACAGAAATGCAGAGAGACATGGAGCAGTCAACTGAGCTAAGCACCTCTTGTGATGAGGAAGCCTTATTTTTGAGACAGAAGCCTGAACTGATGCAAGTCCAAGACAAGGCTGATGTAACACTGCAACAGTGGAAAGCCCAGCAGCTGCAGCGCCTGGCTAAGGAGCTGAAGGCAGAGTGGCAGGAGGCCCGGCTGCAGCAGTTCAAAGACATGGAACACCTCTATTTAGCCCATCTGTTGGATGAGGCAACAGGGCAGGCCATGGGAAATGACTTCATTGTGGAGGAACACAACCGGAAAGGCTCAGCAAAACACATGAGGACTAAGGAGAGAAACAGAGCACCCTTTAGAGAGAAGAGTCGCCGGGAGGAGCACCCCAGGCAACAACCCAAATCCCGGAAAAAAGCAACGTGCTCAGAGAGACGAGGTACTACCAAAGCCCGGGGCCCAAACCCCAGTGAGAAGGGGAAAGGGAAGCGTGTGTCTTCAAGTAAGAGCACTGGTGGCTACCAACGGGTGAGCAGAGGGCCAGACATCAATCCACTCTTAGCTGGTGCTGGGGAAACTAAGTGGGTGGAGGAAGTACAGAAGGAAATACCCAGGGAGGGGCGGCGACGGATGAGAAGAGGGACATCATACTTTGTTCAGAACATAAATCAGAACTCCAGAGACCAGAGTCTGCAGGGCAAAACAGCTGACTTGGAAAAGCCATCGCCTCTCACCTCCACCTTCAGACAGGAGGCCACATCGCCTGTCATCTCCTCCTTCAGACAGGAGGCCACATCGCCTGTCATCTCCTCCTTCAGACAGGAGGCCACATCGCCTGTCACCTCCTCCTTCAGACAGGAGGCCACATCGCCTGTCATCTCCTCCTTCAGACAGGAGGCCACATCGCCTGTCATCTCCTCCTTCAGACAGGAGGCCACATCGCCTCTCAGCTCCTCCTTCAGACAGGAGGCCACATCGCCTCTCAGCTCCACCTTCAGACAGGAGGCCACATCCCAGGGGGCGCCGTCCAAGTACAGCGATAAGAATCAGTGGCACAAAGACATTGAGTCTGCTTTCGAAGAATTGTTTAACACAAATAGAAAGCTGAAGAATCACCTGAATTTGCACCTCGAACAGAAGCTCAAGGTGGACCCCGGTCCAGACAAGCTACAGAGCCCAGCAGAGACTCAGGTTGTGCGCAGCGACACCCCAAGAGAGGCGAATGCAGAGGAGGCAGAAACGATGGCTGAGGAGCCTGGGAGCCCATCAGACATGGTGGCCCATGAAACGTGGTCCAAAACCGATTTGAAACAGTTGCTAGGTGAGACCGAGTACCCTAGGTACCAACAGATGCCAAAGCACCTACCAAAGAGTGAGAGCCTGGTATCTGTCCCTGTGGCAGGAACTTCTAGCAAACAAGACGACGCATTGAAAGACGACGCATTCTCAGGAAGCCCACAGTCAGGACAGGAGCCACCCAAGTCAGCCACCATGGACGAAGAAAGCCTTAAGCCTTACCTGGAGGAACAGGCAAAAGCTGTAGCAAGCTGGATGGCTATGAGGCAAAAGCAGAAGGCAGAGTTGGAGCAAAGAAGGCAAAAGACATTGTTGGAGATGACAGAACACCCTGACATGAGCTTGGAAATTCATTACAAGGCCGAGCTAGAGGAAGAACGCAGGGAACGCAGGAGGTTGCGCTTGGCTCTTCTTAAGACTTCTTATTCCTCTGGGGTCCAGGTCCCAGCCCCTAGCAGAACCATTTCCCTGGACAGCAGCCTTCTCGATGAGGACAAACAGAGCGAGATGATCCGTGACCTTCAGCAGCAGATTTTAGAGCAAAACAAGTTACACAAGCAGTTTTTGGAAAAAGCCAGGAAACGCTTGCAAGAGTTTCAAAAATCATTTTAAAGGCAGACCCACCCGAGATCAATACATTCCTGATGACTGCTATGCCTGTGTGTCTGCCTCTCTTAAGTCTGTTTGTTTGCCATCTTGGCAAACTCCTTCCTGCAGAATCAGAATCCCTGTGGTGTCCAGAGAGCGAATCTAGCTCAAGTTCTGCAGAGTCTGTTTTTATGGGCTGTGGGTACTTAATGGAAACCCCAGGTAAAAATCGTCACTTCAGATGGTTTACCCAAACCCTGGGCTTGCAGGGGTATTCAAGGTCAGACGGGCACAGATTCAAGAGATACATCATGGCTTGCTTGGCCTCTGGCTGAGACAATGTCAGAGCCATTAGCTAAAACCTCTGTCTTTTAGAAGGCACACACACAAAGAGACAAAGCCAACATTGTTTCACAATTTATGCATTCTTAGAACTTTTATGGCTGGGGGCAAGCTAGCCCAGCCCAGCTGGGTGACTCCATCACCCAGTGATGGTGGGGCCAGTGCTGGAGGGTGAAGGTGGGAGGGGGAGACCTGGGTGTTCAGTTTCCTTCTCCTTAGCTTCTTCAAACTCTGAACCAGCAGCCACCTGGATGTGGGGAGCACGTGCCAGGTAGATGGGGGATCACTCTGAACTAGTAGCCACCTGGCTTTGGGGAGCATATACCAGGTAGGCAGTGACCAACATACTTTTCTCTGCAGAGCCTAGAGGGTGAGCGTTGCCAGTCAGCCTCTGGCCACTGCTCAGCTCTACTTTTGCAGCCCCAAAGCAGCTGTGGGAAATCTAGGCTTAGAGCAGGGTAGAGGAGGGTGCATGAGGCTTAGGGTTCAATCCCCAACACTACAGTTGGGGCATTGGTGGGGTGGGAGTGGGGTCTGCCACAGAGGATGTGGTCATGAGTAGGCATACCAAGTAGGATGAGACTTGATTGGCTAAGGCAGAGACTGCTGGCTGTGGCTCCTTGTTAGTTTCTGAGGGTCTTCTCATCTCTTCCCTTCTTCCTCTCATCTTCCTTTCATGGCCCTCTTCCAAAAACCTTGATTGATCATATTTGATCATGACAAATTGGGAATATTGGTCCATAAATGGCCATATTTATCTCCTATGTGTTTTGTAGATAATAGAATGAACAACTGTAAGTGTATCAGCCAAATCCATGACCCAGGTGGTAGGGGGAGCTAAAAGCAGGGTCCGCTGCCGTGTGTCGATTTTCTTTCTTCATCCGTGTGTCCTCCTCAGACACGCTCCTGCTGAACCCTGCAGCGTATAGATGTTGTTGACCACGGCGGGCAGCGGGTCGTGGGTGGTTTCCCATGGGGTTGAGGTCTTAGCCTAGCTCCTGATGTTCAGCCAGGAGTACAGAACCTCTGCTTGCTCCTGTTCACCGTGGCGTATTCTTGTGGGCTTTCAGAGCCTGCCTGGCAGGGTCCCAGCTGTGTTTGTGCCCCTTTCTGAAAAGAGAGCTACGCAGCCAGTGCCTGTGGATCAGGTCTGGCGCTGAGAAGTGCTTTCATAGTCTAACCCCAGCTTTGGCACCAGCTCTTGTTTAGAGCGCTTTTGGAAGCTGCGAATGAAAACGTGCAGCTGGGGTGTGGGCGGGAGGGCTCCGTTTACCACCCCTCTGCTTCCCGTTTGCACCATCTCTCCCGAAAGAGGTCCATCTGCTTGCCTGATATTTTCTTTCATTTATACCGAGTGCCAAACTCTGTCCCCGCCACTGACCCAACTCTGTCCCAGGAGCTAAGCTGTGAACGGCACACGAAGGCCATGCAACTTGTGGCTAGTTGGAAACACAAGCAATGAGTAGCCTGTGTGAGGAGTGCTGGCCAGGGGCTAGGCCTACAGCAAGATGGGAGATACCGACCCTTTGTGGGTTTCTGAGCAACCCAAGCCTGCCCTTCTGCCCACTGCTCATCTGGCTGGACTCTAATAGCTTCCCACAGGGTGTTGAGATTTGCCTTTTGCTTCTCAATCATCATCATACCTTGTTCTCAGCTGGTGCCTGTCAGGTGATGCTCAGTGTTGCATGAACACCCTACAGCATCACCTCTGTCCCGAAGAGTAGAGCAGCTCTTGTGGCATCCCTTGGCTTAAAGCTGCAGTCACAACTGGACCTCACCTCCCAACTTAGTTGGAAGCCACAGCCCAATGAGCAGACACATTGTTTTTGTTTCCATTTACAAAGATGGTATTTGTGGCCCATGTTCTGAGTAAGGAGTCCCTCCTTCCTGGCTACACTGAGCTAAAAGTAGGTGTAGGGATGGGTGTTGAGACATGCTGGAAGGTGACTCATCTCTGCCCGGACAGTAACACCTACACTGTCCCTTGGCAGCAAGCATGAGAAGATGCCCTGTCCTCTCCTACTGTCTTATTGAAGGCTAAAGGGAGATTGTCTAGCCTTGACCCAGGCCAGTGGTGGGGGTGGTAAATCCAATCGCTAGAATCTCCCCCCACAAAAAAAAAGTTTCCCAATGATTCCCTAAGGAGCTGCCATGGCTGCCTCCCACCTCATCCTCAGAGGTTCAGGAGTCTGTGTAGACCCCATTTTCACTCTTCCAATTGCAACTTCTGAGTGGCAATGCAAAGTCTTTGGGTGCAACCTGGAGCCTCCCTAGTCCTCTCCATTCCTCTCACCTGTCAGCCTCCACAGGGAGCAGTGTTCCGTAGTGACAGGAACTAAGTAAGGCTCTGCCACTCTGGGTGCCAGGCAAGGGGTCAACGCTTTGACTGCCCCAGCCTTGACACTATCTCCTCCCCTCATGCCCAACTTCCAGCCATCTCTGTCACCAGCTCTCTCGTTCTTGATGCGAGTATTCATCGGGAGACACTTTTGGCTCCTGTGGTACCATTCAAATCCTTCCTGAAGCATTGGTTCACAGAGACGGCCATGCTGGCCAGGGTCAGGGGATGGTCCCTATTCACACTCCAGTCCTATAAGCTGCCAGTTGACTGAGATGGGGGCGGGGGCAGGACAGCACCACTGAAAGGTGTGTGCAGCTTCAACCCGGAAGCAGGAGAACCCAGGCTCTTTCCATGTACCACCTCAGAGCACTGTGAACCCTAGCGGGGTGTGCTGGATCTTTATTCCTACTGTGGACTGCATTTATCAGAGTCTCCCAACTACATGGACTCAAATCTGGGGCTCACCAAGTGGCAGATAGGCACCATGTTTGCCCACAGGTTGGGGCATGCCCAGAGTGTCCAACAGGCGAGAGGCGCAGGTGTGGTGGATCCCCTTGCCTGCCCTGCTCACTGCCACACTGGCTGAGCCAGTCAGCTATAACCATGGTGATTCCATTGAGTCAGACGTTTGGTTCAGTCACCTCTCCCCACCTAACCCCAGGCACAGGCAGCACCCAAGACGCCATGTCTGTGAGAAGATGGGTTTAGAAATGGGGTGTGGAGTTGGGAGTGGGGCAGGGACCCCCTCTAACCTGCCGTGTCCCTCCAACAAGTAGAACATGACACCAGGTCAGTTCAGACCTCTGAGACCCAACAGGGTCTGGCCTTCAGTCAGTCCAGAGGAGCCCGGTTGGGGAAGCTGCAGGCCCTGAACCATCTGGCTGGGACTTGAGAACTGTCCTGAATGTCCTCCATACTCCATGGCATGGCAGGGGGACACTGGACTAATGAGGGGACAGGGAGTAGGAAGCCATGTCCTGCCATCTCCCTTCAGACATGGTTTATTGACTCTGCTCACAGCCCCGTGCCTTCGTGTCCCACTCGTGGGCAGGGCGTGAGTACTCAGCACTGAAGCCTAGGTCCAAAGGGCCAGTCACCATAGGTTTGCTCTGGGAACCAGTGGATGAAGGAGGGTGCTGCTGGCCCTCTGCAGCAATAGCTGCTGAGCAGAAAGAATCCTGATGCATCTCTGCTGTCTTGTCCCCCAGCCCCTTCCTCAGGGCTGTGTGGAGACGGCTTTCGGGATTGGCAGAGTACCCCAGGGACCTCTCTAGGCTTTCTCTGCCTCCAGCCCTATCAGGCCACTGCCCAGCTTACCCGGGTTTGGGATTTACAGGGCTGAGCTTAGCTTTCTCGAGGCCTTTGGCTCCTTGGCGGAGAAACTGCCGAGCAGCAGCCTCCTCCACAAAGCCACACTGTTCTCAGCAAACCCTCCCAGGAGCGGGATGCATTTTTTTCAAATGATTCAGCAGCACGTGAACATGAACGGGAAGGGCTGAGCTTAAAGCCCTGGCATGAGCTCCTGCTGGTCCACAGCTGGAGAGGGAGGGTGGCAGGGCGTGGGCTCAGTCCCACCGGGCCTAGAGCGAAGAGCCAGGGTCCCGGGGCACAAGGCAGCTGAACCAAGAATGCTGCAGCCTCCTGCTTACTCATGAAGATGTGCCATCGCCCTCCCTGAGAAGAGCCAAAGCAATGGGCAGGAAATGGAGATGGGAAAGCTGGTCTCCATGGAGACGGGCATCTAGCGGACAGCCGCCCTCCTGTGCCTGCTAGCATGCTAGAATCTGAGCGGTGGGCAGGAAGCCTGCTGCTAGGCAGGCCTGGCACGTTCCCAGGCACCAGTCCATGGGTGGTGTGGCCTAGAGCTGAACGCCCTGCAGTCCCCTGGTCATAGCCTTGCAACCCCATTTCCCTCTGCCTCACCCTCAGCCACACCCATCTGCTCGCCTTGGCCTGAGTTGTTAGAGATGAGCAGGTCTTGACCTCATCCTGAGTAGGCTCAGCCCTACCCTAAGGCTGGGGCCCTGTTTGGTTTCACACTCCCCCAAAAGCCCCGTTGCTGCCTGTGATGGGATCGATGATCGGATTTGGGAGTTTCTGTGGGAGGGGCTGGTCTCAGCTGCTGGTGCAAGGAAGCCAAATCCCGCTCACCAGCACCCAGCACGGGACTGCTTTTAATTACCAAATGGCAGCGGCCCCCCTTCCCCGCCCCTTTCCTTTTTATGGAAATGAGAGAAAAGGGATTTGGAGAAGGTCTTTTTCACTAACCCAGAGTGGCTGGGCATGGAAGGGACAAGGCAGGGCAGAGCTCAGTGGATGACCTCACCCATATACAGAGGGAGGGGTCGGCACCATGAGACCAGAGACAGAAGGTAGAGCTGGTGTCCTTGGTACCCGAGGACTTATGGACACCAAACCTGCCTTTGGTTCCTTGGGACACCAGGCTGCTCACCCATGCCTGTACCCCACAAGCTAAGGTGTGGCCTCAAGCCTGGGAGCCAGAGCAGGTTTTAGTGCCCCAGGGCTAAGCCCCAATGTTCATCACCATCACCATCCATGGCGGTGCCTCTGGCTCTGACCAGTTCTGAGGAACAAAGGAGGTCCATCCAAGTCTTCCCCAGGCCCTTTCACTGCTCTTCAAGGACAGCATCCTGGACAATGTAACCATGTGGTGGCAGTTGCCTAGGACAAAGCCAGGAACTGTGTGTGGCTGGTCTTATGTCCCCAGCTGAGGGTGTAGAATTAGGGCAGCAGTGTGGGGGGTTACACCTCCTAAAGTCAGGTAGTCTTTGCTGGCCGGGATGACCAGCTGTGGGTGTTTGCTGTCCACTCTAAGGGGACAAGAAACTGACCCCACTCGCAGTCACAGGGTCTAGTTATGGATGGAATTGGAACTTTGCCACCTGAGTTGAGGGTGTGAATGGCAAAGTATTGTCATGCTGTTTTCTGGGGGCTTAATAGAGTTTATGTGCCCCACAACAGACTGGAAGAAGACACCGGGGCCTCACAGGTTGGGTTGATTCTGGGAGAGAATGATGTTTCTTTTTTAACTGATTGGCATGTAACTCTTCCACGAAAAGAAGAAATGGGGCAGATAACCTTAGGAGGGTTACAACTAGGCCTGAAGCTACTGACGTGCATCTGTGAGACGGGGGTCTCTCTGGGGGGCTCCCCCACCTTGATGTTAGTGGCCTTAAAGTGGTGCAGCTCCCTGTGTCTTTGCTTGACCCCAATCTAGCTACAGCATCAGAGCACTGCCATCCCTTGGCGATCGTTGCTGACAGTGTCTTGGCAAAGGCTCCCATTCTATCTCGTAGTTCCAAGAGGGAGGAACCACCCCCAAATTAACTTCCCATATTTTCTCTAGGACCTTGCTGGGCCCAGGTCATTGCAGAACCCTGAAGGACAGGGTGGCCTGGTTGTGATCCTCTGGTAATCCTGAGTAAAAATTTTAGCCTCAGAAAATAGACGCTGATGCCTCTAGGTTCATTTGTGCTCAAAATGGGAAGCCCACACTTTAGAGAGGGAGCTAAGTGGAATCCATCCATGGTATGTAAATATTCCCTGGGCATATGGGATTGTCCCGTGCGTAGCTGGCCCACAGCTAGGAGGAATCTTGCAGGTAGCTCTCCTTCAGGTTATGACCTTTCTGTGGACTATGGGCATGGTGTGTCTTTAGATCCTCAAGAAACTTCCACGATGTTACTATGGATACCATAAAGTTAAAAACTTGTTGAGCTGGGTGTGGTGATGCACACCTTTAATCCCGGCACTTGGGAGGCAGAAGCAGGTGGATCTCCAAATTCAAGTTTACACAGTAAGTTTCAAGTCAGCCAAAACTACATAGTGAGAGTCTCTCCCTCCCTCTCCCTCTCCCTCTCCCTCTCCCTCTCCCTCCCTCCCTCCCTCCAGAACCTGGATATCTGTCCTCCCAGATCACCTTTCAGATCTGGTTAGTGAATTCCAGGTTTGGGTTCGTAAAGTAATTATAATGCAAATATACCACCCCAGCATCTTGCTACATTTAAAAATAAAAAAGTCAAAGGCCACTCTGCCCCACCAGATTATCACTTTCCCTAGCATCTTTTTTTCTGGGCAAAGACTTAACTTCTGGCCACCAATTTGACCCAAGGAAAAGACTGGTTATTCCTGAATCCAGAAGGATATGACTCATCCCTGTTCATCTTCAGGTGCCACAGCCTCTCGAAGCTCAGTCTATCCTCCTACAGCTCATTTCCCCATCACTGTCTCATTATCCTAACAGCATATAGCAGGAACAACACACACAAAATAACCTCTCCCTCTCCCTCTCCCTCTCCCTCTCACTCTCCCTCTCTCTCTCACTCTCCCCCTCCCCCCCCCTCCCTCTCTCTCTCTCTCTCTCTCTCTCTCTCTCTCTCTCTCTCTCTCTCCCCTTTCCTCTTTCTCCTTCCCTTCCTCCTCCCTCTCTTTTCTCCCTCTCTCCCCCTCTCCCTGTCTCCACACACACATACATACAGTTGTTGAATTTATGAACATGTCTTTAGGACTCAGTGGACCATGTGATGGTGGCCCAGGAGACAGACAGGAGCTCCCTGGGAGGGAGAACCGAGGCTGTGCTTGCCATGGTTGGGATCTGTGGAGTGTGTTGAATCTTCCGGCTTCCCTTTGCCACGACCATGGCATCAAGGTTTCTAGAAAGTTCCTCATAGGATAATAGCAGGACAGCCCTACTTCTGTTGGCGTCCTGGGGCAGTTGTGTTTCTCAAGGTTCAAACACTGCCCGTCATCTTTGGCTCATCGTCAGTGCCCTTGACTTTCCAGACACCTAGCTCTTTCCCATCCCTTTCTGGCTGGGTGCACTGGGATTGTTTTTGCAGGCTCCTCTAGGGGGAAGTGACATCATGTGGTGTCCTCAGCCGGAGGGATGGGGGTAGGGGCTCTGCGGTTGTGTGTGCTCTGAGTTAAAGTCAACGCTTGTGCATTCCAGTAGCCAGCATCTGGCAGTGAATTCATCAGCCAGTGTAGCACTCTTGATGGCAAACCCAGATGTTGGGTTAGCAAAAGGAAAAGAGGAAAAAGCAAATTTTGAGCTGCATGGGGTGGGGGTTACAACAAAAACAGTTAAGCAGGACTCCCCTGCTGCCTTGTCCAGCTCCTTGGATAGGTAATGGGACAGGGCCTAATGTGGCTGGTCCTACCCTGGTGTCTGCCCCCAACCTAGCATGTAAGTATCCAGTCAACAGGCACTCATGCCTTGCTTCTAGTTCATCCCAAATTCTTTGAGTCTAGATTTCCCTGTCCTTCGGATGGCCTGGGATAAAGAGAGGCTATCCATTCTGTGACATGGCCTATTTTCCTGTATAGCCCTCACAGTCACTCTGGAGGTCACACTGCTGACCACTGCCGTGTGTGGGGTTATGCTTCTGGAGGATTCTTTATTTACTTTCCTTTCCTGTCTGCCACCCGGGATTTCCTGTCCATCTGTCTACCTGGTTCTCTAGATCAGACATCCCTCTAAGGCCAGGCCTGCAGAAGCTTTTACTGGCAAGACATCCCCCCTTCCCCTTCTCCACCCACTGATCTCACCAGGTGACAGCTACAGCTAAGACAGGTGTCTGCTGCAGCCAAGGTCGATAGTCCCTAA